GGGAGGAAAACATTACAGAGTGGACAGGAAAGACGATGGGTGACAATCTGAGGAGAGCAGAGGACAAAAATAGATGGCGGGAGTTGGTTTTCTAATGCAGTGGTGCCCCAACGGTTGTCCCAACCACGGGATAGAAGAAGAAGAAGAAGAGGTTTTAAGGCACTCGCAACTGCATAAGGTCATATGAGCGCCAGAAGATTAGAGGTGTTACAAGAGAGTAACAAACATAAAAAAGAAGAATGGGAGATAAGAACAATAGATGTTTGATAGGAAAGAAGAAGCAAACCACACCAGAGCACCCGTCAACCACCCACCACGTGAAGTACCGAACTCATGTCTCCTGCTTGCAGAGGCGAAGAGCCTAACCACCAGCACAGCACAGGCACCAGTTGATGAAGAACTCTTAGAAAAGCTGCTGAAATATAAATTTTATCCAAAACAGAACTGTTCACAAAAAAAGTGGAAAAATAATCAGCGCAAACAGAATACTTGGGAATTAAAGAACACAGATTTTCTTAGTTTTCGTAAGAGTTTTTATGGCTCTTGCAACACAAATATGGTTTACATAAAAGCCAAAGATTCGAGATGTTACTACCAGAGAGCGTAACAATTGCAAACATACGAGAAAAGTAGTAGAGAAAAGGGTGATAGGTGTTTGGTAGCCAACCACATACAACCTTCTCTACTATTTTTAGTATTCGTTTTAGTAAGAGTTTTACGGCACTTGCAGCACAATAAGGTCATATAAGTGCCGAAGAATAGAGATGTTACAAGAGAGTAACAAACACAATAAAGAAGGAGTGGGGAAAAAGACGATAGATTTTGTATAGAAAAGAAGGAGCAAACCACACTATAGCACCCACCAACCTCCCACAGTAGAGAAAAGGATGATAGATGTTGGATAGCCAACCTCCCACAGTAGAGAAAAGGATGACAGGTGTTTGATAGCCAGCCACACACAGTAGAGAAAAGGATGACAGGTGTTTGATAGCCAGCCACACACAGTAGAGAAAAGGATGATAAGTGTTGGATAGCCAACCACACACGACCTTCCTCGCTGTGACCATCACTTTGACAAAACAGAACAGTACGTCCTTACTACGGGACATTCTCAGAAGAAAAACACAGTGTACAACAACTGCAATTTAGGGAAATCATGGGACAAAAACACACAGTAGAGAACTACATGGGAAATTATGGGACAAGAACACAGTAGAGAATAACATGGGAAATTATGGGACACAACATACAGTAGAGAACTACATGGGAAATTATGGGACAAGAACACAGTAGAGAACTACACGGGAAATTATGGGACAAGAACACACAGTAGAGAATAACATGGAAAATTATGGGACAAAAACACACAGTAGAGATCTATATTGGAAATTATGGGACAAACACACACATACTGTTGAACTACATAGGAAATTATGGGACACAACAGAGACCGACACAAAAAAAAGAACAACCCAGGAGTATACTATGTTTCATCACACTTGCACTACAGGAAGCAATTCGATTCTCCATGAAGAAAAAAAACTCTCACCACACTGTAAACAGATCTTTAAAAAAAATCTTGGCATATTCGTGAAATAAAATCTATCAATCAAAAGTTTTTTTAGTAAGCGTTTACGGCACTTGCAACACATCAAGGTCATATAAGTGCCGAAGATTAGAGGTGTAACAAGAGAGTAACAAACACAAAATAAGAAGGAGCAGAGATAAGGACGAACGATGTTGGATAGGAAAGAAGAAGCAAACCACACCAGAGCACCCGCCAACCACCCGCGTAATCAAAAGTTATCTTTTTCAGTGGCCACAAATGTAAAACAGAACAACGTTTGGGGCAATGCGTAGCACTGGGTGAAATCAGAACATAGAATGAAGAAGGAAAAAAAAAAAAACCCCAAAAGAAATCGCGTCAAGAAAATAAAATCAAACGACAGAATGAAGAAGTAAAAAAAAAAAGAGGGAAAAATTGTCGTTTAAGAAAATGAAATCGGACCACAGAACGAATAGGAAGAAAAGAGAACAACAACTCAGAAATTGCAACAAGAAAGTAAATACAGAACAACAATTCCCTGAGGAAATTCGTTCTAGCTTGCGTTAGTTAACTCTTTAAACCCTGAGTTTTTTCCACCGTTTCCCGGGGGGGGGGGGGGGGGGTTCAGTCACCTAAAACCTGGTGCACTATGTCTCATAAAAACCCAAAAAGCTTTCCTCCAACTTCTAAATGGCAGGAACAAAGGCTAAGTCAGTCATTACTAAAAAAATTTCAGTCATTACTAAAAAAAAAATACCTGGTTCCGGAACAGTTCCGAAAAACAAGCGAAAACTAGCACTAAATAAATCGAAAGAGTTGTCACTAGTTGTATTGGATGCTCCCAGCATCCGGCGGGGTATAAAGAGTTAATCTGGGCAACACAATTGTCACCAAAAGCCACAACACCAGCAGACAAAATCAGGGAGAAATCTGAATGAAAATCTTGGTCAACAACATCACAGCTGTTAATTTGTATATAAACACAATAAGAAAATCCCCTTGATTCGTTTCGTTTTAGTTTTTAGTAAGGATTTTACAGCATTTGCAACACAAAGAGCCCATACAAGCGCCGAAGATCAAAGGTCGCGAGAGAGAGCAACATACAGAGACAAGAAGGAAGAGCCAGATAAGAAAAGCAGATGTTTGATAGTAATGATAGGACAGGAAAAAATGTGGAGAAATTACAATAAACCTCTTTGTCGATAAAATCGCAGCTGTTAATTTGTCAACACGAAAAGAAAAGAAAATTCCTTGATACACGAAGACGAAAAAAATTCTAGGATCATAGTTTTAAAAAACACAAAAGGAAAAATTTTGGACGTCCACAAAACTTTTTTAAAAACTCTTCTTATAATTATGTTATATGTTTCATTTACAAAATGTAGATAATTTGTGAGGCAGGCTGCTTCGACTTTGACCGTCACTGCCAACAGGGACTAGGTGAGGCACAGCATCATCCGAGGAAACAGACCGCTAAGATATTCAAAATTAGAAAACATTCCCCAAACGCGGGGATTGAACTTATGTTTCCTGCATACAACATCACAAAGAACCTAACAAATCCACAACAGGCACTGATGGTCCGTGAAACTGCTGATCTAACCACTATATAGCTTCACAGTTCACAGCCCTCTCAGAAAAGAATTCCTAGGCGTGCTCTTCAAATGTACTGAGCCCCAAATTTTGACAATTGTGAGGCAGCGTGGAGAAATCAGGCTCTCGTTAAAATAATGACATTGAAGAAACTGTGCCAGTTTGGCAATTCCTATCGAATCTTTTTTTTTTGGCACAACACCTTTTGTATCCACTTAAAAACACATTTCTGTGTGGTTTTTACTGAAAAACGTTGATTAAATGGACAAAAATTGTAAATTTTCATTTTCCATGGAATATGGTTATGGTGGCTATTTTCTCTATGATTTTACTTCAGAAACCTAGTGACCCCACCTCTTTCAATTGCAAATATCTCCACTTGTATCCAAGATAAATGTGTATTTTTTTCATTGAAATATCGTCAAATGAACAAGCTTTAAGACGCTACTAATAACTCCAAAGCTGATTCAACTGCGTCGTGACACAATGTTGTTGTTTTTTCAAAGCAGTTTCTCAATCTGTGGTGCAGGTTGCTCAAGAACTACACATATTTTGTCAAAATGCAAATAACAAATGTTGAAAAAAGCAAACAAAACACATCATCGAGGTACAACTGTTAAAAGATTGAAACAGTTTTTTCTCTCTCTCCGGAGAAATAATGCTTTCTGCGCTTAATATGTTTGAACAGCTTGCCGATCTAATCAACATTGGGACAAGAACTCTAACAAAAAAATAAAATATCATCAGAGCAAAAGAGCAAAAGATTGACACAGTTTCAGGGAAAACATAAGAAATACCCAATGATAAACACGGGCGTTTAACAAAGTACAATTTATCACAGCAAAATAAAACAAAACAAGCTCGAAGCACCAGAAATTCCAAATGCCAATAGCCTCATATCATATGTGCGTGTACACGGCCAGCCTTCGTCGTTTTGGCTTTCATTAAAGTTTTAAATAACTTGTAAAATAAATAGGCCGTACAGGTAGGCTACGGAAGATAGGAGGTGTGACTGTTACCAGAGAGTAACATACAAAGAAAAGTAAGGGGAGAGATAAGAATCGACAGATGTTTGAAAGGAAAGAAGGAGAAAACCACGCCAAGGCGTCCGGCAAGCACCCACTTCACACTGCAGGCCTCCACAAAGATAATATGTTTTAATAAAAGTTTTACGGCACTTGCAACACAGTAAGGTCATACAAGTGCGGAAGATTAGAGGTGTTACAAGAGGGTAACTTGTGTAAACACAAAAAAGAAGGAGAGATAAGGACGATAGATGTTTGATAGGAAAGAAGGGGGAGCAAACCCCACCAGAGCACCCGCCAACCACCCGCATAGAGACAACAAGCAGCACATGTCATGGAGAACAGACTGGAACAACAAGAGGAAAGAACACCAGCAGCACCTACTGACGTTATATTTTCCAAAAAAAGTAACAATTCAAACCTACCAATGGCACCCTCCAATCACCCACGACCACATTAAATGAGATTCCGTAGGTCTGTAAGTGTAAGTTGAGAGATCATTAAACACTTTTGCACGCGGGTCAACCAGTAGCCTACGACACACACAGTCAGACAGACAGACGGCCATTACAAGGGACATTTAGTAGGTCTATCTTTGACACACAGACAGACAGACGGTCATTACAAGAGACATTTAGTAGGTCTATCTTTGACACACAGACAGACAGACGGTCATTACAAGAGACATTTAGTAGGTCTATCTTTGACACACAGACAGACAGACAGACAGTCATTACAAGGGACATTTAGTAGGTCTATCTTTGACCAGTCACTTAAGACAAAAGCTGGGAAATCTAACAGACCTTTGACAACACCAGGGACAAATACAAGGTCTATCTCTGTGTGTCACCTCGACAATACAAAGAGACATTTAATAGATCTTTCGCTTTGTATCACTTAGACAATACAAAGAGACATTTAATAGATCTTTCGCTTTGTATCACTTAGGCAATACAAAGAGACATTTAACAGAGCTTCCGCTGCGTCACTTAGACAATACAAGAGACATTTAACAGGTCTATCTCTGTGCCACTTAGACAATACAAGAAACATTTAACAGGTCTATCTCTGTGCCACTTAGACAATACCAGGGACATTTGGTATGTCTGTCTGTGTGCCACTTAGACAACACCAAGGACATTTGGTACGACTGTCTGTGTCAAGAAGCATGTGACCACACGTAGACAGATACGACAAATTCAAACATACAAACATCAACAAAGTGATTTTCATTTTCCTTATTTATAAAAAAAATCTTATTCCATAAAACGGCATCGGTAGTGCGTCATGCAAAATTATAGCCTTTTTTTTCGACGCACAATTCAGGTTCTTGTTTCTAATAACATCCACCAATTCATTCCTGCAAAGCAGAGATTCTTAAATTCTTAAATTCTTAAATTCTGAAAGCTAAGAAAGAAAAAAAAACCAACCCACACACCAGCCCACACCCTCACTACCAAACAAGACAGTAGACCAAACCACATCCAAGGTGACCATACCACGAACAACAAAAACAACAACCTACCAGGGGCAAATTACAAAAATATAATATATGGCTATTTTCACTAAATGCAGAATGTTAGTACTTTTATCAAGACAAAACTGTCTTTGACTATCACTTGTCCTGCAAGCATTACAACAATGTTGACACCCGGGAACTAGAAATGTATACATCAGCGAGCATACAATAATCAAACTATCAATTCTAACTGTCAGAATACAGGTTCGCACTAAACACACACACACGCACACACACACACACACACACACACACACACACACACTATATGCCTCAATCTTTCCCACACAAAACAACAATCTGCTGAAATATTCAAATATCGATGGTGTCATCCCCTAACCAAGTAACCGGTCTCTTTAACATTTTTCAACACACAATAAAAAAAAATATGACTTGAATGACGAGAGAAGACACAAAAGTTAGCCCATAATGTTCTCTTTATAGCTCATGCTGACTCATGATTTTTATTGAGGATTCGCCGATCAGCCCCAGAATCGAAATAGAACGGGGGTGGGGGGAAAGTTGATCTGTTTCCTCCAGTTCCACGGTTAGAGCATAACAACATTATCGATACTTAAATACGGGTAAATAAATACCTCAACCTCGTCTACTAACACAAACAAATGTCAAAAAAATGCATGTTTAAAGAAACAAAGCCACTCCACACTTGTGACCTAGTACACTATTTTGATAGGTTTTTAAAAAAAAGTCAAACTAGACTCGGCAAAATAAAAAAAGGCAAACGAGACTCGGCAAAATTATTCTTTATAACACATGACATAACTTGGATATCCCTAATTACCTCCCACATCGCAACTGACAACAACCAGACGTCGCCTAGGAACTATTTTGTCCTAAGTGTACTTCAGTAAAGAGGCACTTATTTGGACAAAATCGTTCTAAGGCGACGAAGAATTACCAGATAATAAATCGAATCAAAAAGTATTATTCAGAATTTTGTTAATTTTCCAACCATTCAAACATCGAGGGGAAATAGATAAATATATGTATATACATATCGGTGTACACACCGTCAGCTGTCTGTTAAAATGTACAAAGCCCCAAAATTTTTTTAATCTAAATTGCAATTTCTTAATCTGTAGTGACGGGTGCATGCTCAAGAAACATTTTGTCAAAATTCAAACTCTAAATGTGGAAAAAAGCAATAACAAATATGTGAACTAGGTACAATTTTTAAAAACATGAAAGTTCTTTTTAATGCTTTCTGGGCTTCTTAGTACATTTCAACAGCTTGCCAATGATATATATATATATATATATATATATATACACATTTTATATATACGAATGAATACAAGCCATTTCCAAAAGGCAACTACAGTTAGTGTGTCTTTCGGACTCTCTCTCTGAGACAAACCTGACAGACGGATAATTTGTGCCAGACGATACTTTGTCAATGAACAAATGACCAAACAGATAGTATAGAAGCCTGGTTTACAAACTCCTGATGCCGATCACAACAGTGAAATCCCTACAGTGTTTTAAACTGCCTAGATTTGTGTATTTCAACATCAACAACACTCTCTTGCCCTGAATTTTCACTGATCAAAATTAATCATCTGTGTTACGGTACCTGCCAGCAAGAGAATTTAAAAGAGGAGAATAAAATTTATCACAACTTCCTGAGTAAAGGTTGTGTCCGACTATCTCCTCAACTTGAAAACTGGAAAAACACCAATCACATAGAGCAATTAAGGCAGAAAAGTGTCCAAATTGGAAACTGAAAATTGGAGTCATCACTTGGTTTCAAAGCCGGCCTTTAGCGAATGGCTCGTATGAGTGTCTTCATGAAACTCTTTATACAAGCGACCCATGTATTTGTTTATATTCTATATAATCAGCATACAAAATAGTCAAACATAGTCGTTTGTCATCACAACTGTTGTAAAAGTTTTAATCCTCCATAGACATTTAGATCTCCATCAAAAACCCAAGTATATCAAATTTGAAATATTCAACAAAGCCGAAGTATACCGTTACTGTTGGCCAGCTGTTCACATGTACTGAGCCCAAAATTTTGGAAAACATTTTTTAATCGCAGTTTCTAAATCTGTGGTATCGGTTGCATATAGGCTACTCAACAAATATTTGGTTGAAATTCTAAATTCTAAATGCTGAAAAAAGCAAGAAAAAAAATACACGGTTAATACATGGAGAGCAATACTAGAAAACAGAATAACTATATTCCGATACATAGACTGGTTTCCTCACTTAGACTCTCAAAAACTTATTAAATACTTTTTCTGCAAACTGGTTGGCAGCTACAGAATTCACATTTTTTAAGAAAAAACAACAGGAGCAGACAGCCAACTATCCTAAATACATGGTCTCTCTCCTGAAAAATGTTATTTCCAGGCTCAGGACATTTGAACAGCTTGCCGATATAATGAAAATGTGAATGCACCATATATTTATTGTGGCATAAAGTCAAACACACACTAATCAGAAAATTCCGGAGTAGGCCCGGAACAGCAACATTCCTGACCCGCCAGACACGCTGACGTCCACGCTCGTTTCACACGCCACAAAGAACACCGAGCCCGGCCTGACCTTGAGGGGTGAACTCAAGGACTCGCTGGACGCCTCCCCTTCCCCTCGGATCACGATGCAGATGCTGGCACTCTCAAAGCTCTGGAGCTGGAAGGAAGCCGTGCCCTCAGGGACCTGGGGGGGGGGGGAACAGGAAAGTTTGTATAGTTTAGTTTTCATTTAGATTTAGTAGAGGTTTTACGGCGCTCGCAACTGCATAAGATCATTTGAGCGCCAGAAGATTAGAGGTGTTACAAGAGAGTAACAATCATAAAAAAGAAGAAGGGGAGATAAAGACGATAGATGTTTGATAGGAAAGAAAAAGCAAACCACACCAGAGCACCCGCCAACCACCCACATAGTTTGGTTTTAATTTAGTAGGAATTTCGCAGCGCTTGCAACACAATAAGGCCATATAAAAACCTCAGATTCAAAGTAGACCTGTCGCAAAAAAAGATCTCTCCAACTGGCTAATGACCCGTCTGCTGGGACATTTCAGTAACCCACTTTCAGCACTTTTCAAGGACCCCCAGGCGAGTGTTGAGTTTCTGCGTGCTGTCAGTATCGCTGACCGTTTATGATAGCCACAGCGCCAGAAGAGAGAGAGAGAGAGAGAGAGAGAGAGAGAGAGAGAGAGAGAAAACTGGCTAATGGGCTATAATTTGTTCTCATTATAAATTCACAAATCCGGTCTTGAAAGTCCAGAAGTCCAGAGAGAGCAATACTACAAAACAGAATACGTATTTTCCGATACGAAAAACTGGTTTCCGTACTCAGACCCTCAAAAACGTATTAAATACATCTTATACGAACCAGTTGGCAGCTATGCATTTACATTTTTTTTAAAACAACAGGGGCTGACAGTATAACACGGATAGCTCAAATTCGTCGGGACCGGCCTCAGTAGTTCGAGGGATCCGTGGTTCGGGGGATATCTTACAAATATGTGAGACAGCGTGGTGGAATCAGGCTCTTGTCAATTTTTGGGCATGTAGAGTTATTGGTTTCATCTTAAAGCTTGTTCACTTGTCTTTGTTGTGATGAAAAATATATCCATTTATCTTGAATACAAGTCGAGATATTTGCGATTGAAAGAGGTGGGGGTCACCTGTTATCAGAGGTAAAATTAGTGAGAAAATGGTCGCCAAAAATTTAGTTATTTCCTTATCTTAATAGTCCGAGGTAACTGAAAATTTACATTTCTTGTGCCTTTAATCAACGTTTTTCAGAAAAATCCACACTGAAACGAGTGTTTTAATTGGCATGAAAGGTGTTGAGTCAAAAAAAAAAAATTGGATAAAAATTCACAAACCAGTGGAAAAATGCAAGTTTCTACACTTCGATTATTTTGACGAGAGCCTGACTCCACCACGCTGTCTCACATATAGAGAAGAGAAAAAAACGGGACCGCAGGAACAGTTGGACGGATACATGATTTCAAGTCTTCTGTGTTCGACCTATATCCGTGTCACACTGTACTCTGAGCGTACCTCAAACTTGGAGACGCCAAAATCTGGCACGGGAGGGTTGAAGATGGTGATGTCCACGTTGCCGTGGCTCTCAATGCCCAGGAACTTGGTCCTGCTGACGGGACGTCCCGTGTAGTCCAACATCTCACACAGCGTGCGCACGTCGATGTACTTGGGGGTCAGGCCAGCACGCACCACGTTGTCTGAGCAGGCCATGCACTCCATGCAGTCTGTGGGGGAGGGGGGGAAGGGAGAGAAACAGAAATAGGGGATGTAGTGGAAATAGAAAGGCACATATATATATATATATATACAATGGAAAGGGGGAAAGGGAGGAGAGGAGAGGGAAAGGGGGGGGGGAAGGGAGGAGGGGAGGAGAGGGAAATGGGGAGAGGAGGAAAGGGGGGGGGCAGGGAGGCACAGAATTAGTACCCACAAGTGGCACACTCCAACGACCCGCTCATACACTGACAACTAGGGCTGGATCCTGCTCGCCAAATTTGACGGTGGCGATTCGCGATTCAGTCGGTTTCAAAGAATCGCGATAATGAGCGCTCGTGGAGCTGTGGCGGAACCCTGACTGAAACGGAGCAGTGTCCTATCAACGCCTTTTGGCAAGCGAGAGTCCCACTCTTGTTCCGCCATCCTCTCCGCCCCACACCCTTTGTTGCGCTGCTCTATCAACTGACCTCAATTAGTGACCCCCCTAAATTCACCCCCCCCCCCCAACCCCATGATTCGCTAAAACAATGGCTCCACCAAATTCCTTCTGTCTATTGGTTGGACTCCGTTCATTTTGTTTTAATAGGGGGGTTGGACTATACCATCTTTTGTAAAATAAGGGGAGCCATACTAAGTGTTCCGTTCCGTTCTAGCGCTCTTGACTCAACTCAGCAGCAGGTCAAACAAGCCACAAGGTGGTGACAGCGACAGGGGAGTGAATCGGGAATCGTTTGGCGATACTATTCCGCGTTCCGCTGAAGTGAATCGTGAATCGCGTTCCGCAGGCAAGAGTGGCGATTCAGTTCCGTTCTCGCGCTCGCGACGCTGCAGTACTGACAACACCAACAGACAAGAGAAAAACAAGAAAACTCTAATTAAACAATTCACTAAAAATAAAATATCGGGACAGTCCCTACCTCCGGAAAGATAAGCGTGCGGCAGATTGGCCTCCAGAAACATGGCCTCCCCTGGCTCCAGACGCACGATGTTCAGGAAGTAGATGGCAAAACAGCCGCGGTCGCCTGGGAACTCGCTGTCAAGCTTCAGCAGGACTTCGCCCTCGAAGCGTTTCAGTTCAGCTGGGTTATTCTCTGGACAAGGAAATAAAAGAACTCGTTACATGTAGCAGGGATCACAGTGAAATTTTCCACCAACCCCTAAACTTTGTCGGTCGATCCAATAGACTCACATAAATATTGTGTGCACCAAACAACAACACCATCACCACAACCACTAACAACAACATCAACAAACAACAACACCATCACCACAACCACTAACAACAACATCAACAAACAGCATCCACCTAAGGTCTTGACTTTGTTGACCAGCCCAGCCAACACCACAGCAACAACAACTACAACAACAAAAATAACAGCAGCAGCAACAACAACACAAGCACAATCACCACCATCACCAACAAACAACAACAACACACAACAACAACACACAACAACAACACCGCCACCAACAACAACAAACAAAAACACCAACAAACAGAACCACCACCACCACCACCAACACCACCACCAACACCAACAACAACAAACAACAGCACCAACAAACAACAACACCACCACCAACAACAACACCACCACCAACACCAACAACAACAACAAACACCACCACCACCACCACCACCACCACCAACAAACAACACCGCCACCAAAAACAACAACAAACACCACCAACAAACAACAACACCACCAAACAACACCACCACCAACAAACAACAAACACCACCAACACAAACACTACCACCACCAACAAACAACACCACCACCACCACAAACACTACCACAAACAACAACACCACCACCAGCAAAGAGCACCCACGTAAGGTCTTGACTTTGTTGACCAGCCCGGCCAGCGAGCTCTTCACCACCTTCTCCTCCTTCTCCATCAGAGCCATAAAGCAATCCTTCATGGCCTCCCGCTGCAGGGGCATGTCCATGGAGTGGCTGGCCGAGATCAGCTTACCCGCCCGCAAAAAACCACCACAGCAACAACAACAACAACAGCAACAAAAACAATAACAATACGACCAACAACAGCACCACCAATAACACCACCACCGCAAACAACACCACCACCACAAACAACAACAAAACAACACCAACAACACAACAAAAACACCATCACCCGCAACAAACAACACCACAGTAACAACAACAACAACAATATACAGCACCAACGTAAGCTTTGTTGACCAGCCCAGCCAATACCACAGTAACAACAACAACAACAAAAAACCCAGCAGCAGCAACAAAAACATCAACACAACAAACAACACAACCACCAACCACAACAACAACAACTGCCTCACCCGCTACCCACGAGATGCGGTGGCCCTGGCGAAGAGCACGCTCTTCGGGGCTCCAAACATTTCGAATGGATCGACTACCACACACACACACACACACACACACATACACAGCAACACCACAACCAACAAACAACAACAACAACAACAAACAACACCACCACCAACACAAACACCACCACCAACAAACAACACCATCACCACCACCACCACCACCAACAAAGAGTACCCACGTAAGGTCTTGACTTTGTTGACCAGCCCGGCCAGCGAGCTCTTCACCACCTTCTCCTCCTGCTCCATCAGAGCCATAAAGCAATCCTTCATGGCCTCCCGCTGCAGGGGCATGTCCATGGAGTGGCTGGCCGAGATCAGCTTGCCCGCCCGCGTGCCCACCGCCTCGCGGAACTCGTCCACGTCTGAAACACAACATGGATCTTGTGTCAATGCCAATTTTTTTCAGTTTCAGTAAGAAAGGGTTTAGTAAGAAAGAGTGTTTGTTTTGATTAAGTAAGCGTTTTGCGGCACTCGCAACACAATTAGGTCAAGAAAAGGCCAAAGATTAGAGGTTTTTCTAGTAGAACACTCGAAACACAATTAGGTCATGTAAGTGCCGAAGATTAGAGGTGTTTCTAGAGAGAAATGTACAAATAAAAGAAGGAGGGATAAGGACGATAGATGTTTGATAGTAAAGAAGGAGCAAACCACACCAGAGCACCCGCCAACCACCACCATATTTTTTAAAAATTTAGTTTTAGTTTTAGGTTGTTGTTTTTTCCAGAGACCAGAAGGAAATAGAGGAAGAAACAGATGTCCAGGAAAAGGTGGACAGAGGGAGGTCAAAGAAACACTGGTCAAAAACAACACAACCATATAACAGGCGATACAACATAACAAGAGAAAGACAGTGGGTGGTTGGCGGGTGCTCTGGTGTGGTTTGCTCCTTCTTCCCTATCAAACATCTATCGTCCTTATCTCCCCCTCCTTCTTTTTTATGTTTGTTACTCTTTTGTAACACCTCTAATCTTCTGGCGCTCATATGACCTTATGCAGTTGCGAGCGCTGTGAAATCTCTGCTAAAACTAAACTAAAAAGAGAAAGACATTTGCTTCACCCCTTCACACCATATGTGAGGCGGCGTGGTGGAATCAGGCTCTCGTCAAAATAATCAAAGTGAAGAAACTCGCATTTTTGCGCAGATTTGTGAGTTTTTATTAAATTTTTGTTTTTTTGGCTCAACACCTTTCATGCCCATTAAAGAACTCATTTCTGAGTGGATTTTTCTTAAAAACGTTGATTAAAGGCACAAAAAATGTAAATTTTCAGTTACCACTGACTCTAAGGAAATAACTAATCTTTGGAGGCCATTTCCTCACTAATTTTACCTCTGAAAACAGGTGACCCCCACCTCCTTCATTGGCAAATATCTCGACTTGTATTCAAGATATATGGACATTTTTTTCATTGAAATAAAGACAAGTGAACAAGCATTAAGATGACACCAATAACTCTACATGCCCAAAAATTGACGAGAGGCAGATTCCACCACGCTGCCTCACATATGGTAACAGGGGCCAGCAAAGGTAAAAGTCAAGTAAAGTCAGAGTTTTACAGCATTTGTAACACAAATAGGTCATATAAGTGTCAAAGATTTTACATGAGAGTAACACATACAAAAAAAAGGAGAGATGAGGACAATAGACTTTTGATAGGAAAGAAGGGGAAAACCAAACCAAACCACCTGTCAACCACCCATTGTCAATGTTTCTATCCATCAGCAGGATCTCCGGCAAAAACTTGTGAAAGTGCATAGGTTGAACATCCCTTTCAACTGTTATTTAAGATATGGAACCTCTGAATGTAATACATCTCCGATGACATAGCCAAATGGGTAGAAAGCCTGAAAAATATTCTTTTTTTTTTTAAAGAAAAGAAAATTCAGCTCGCCCCCTTGGGGATTCAAACCAGGGCCATCTGCTCCTTGGTCCAGCATGATACCAACTGATTGTTTTGTTTTAGTAGAGTTGGGGGTTTTTTTTAGTAGAGGTTTTACTGCGCTCGCAACTGCATAAGGTCATATGGGCGCCAGAAGACTAGAGGTGTTACAAGAGAGTAACAAACATAAAATAGAAGAAGGGGAGACAAGGACGATAGATGTTTGATAGGAAAGAAGGAGCAAACCAGTTGAGCTAACCGCACGCCCGAGCAGGATTCAGTTTGGTTTTAGTAAGAGTTTTACGGCACTTGCAACACAATAAG